ACCGAACGGCTTCACCAAGTGTACTGACTAGTAACGGCGGCACGTGTGTAATCTCATGTTAACCGGAAGTACGTCACTGCGATTTGGTAGAATAATGTCTTTTCTTTCTTATTTTGAGTTTCAAGAAGCTTACTAGATTACATCTTCCGAGAGGTAAAAACCCACCCGTGTTATTATGGATATTTCAGTGTCCCTGCCCATACTAGGGGCAAAGCTAATAAATTAAAATTAAATTAAAAAATGTTAGATTTCGATATCGTTTCTTTGTACAGTCATCTCAACTTTCACATTCAGCTTGTCTTGCGCTATATAACTGAGCTTTTGGGAACTTCGGCTAGACTATTCTATGCATTAAGAAGGAAAGAGTTAGAGGTATTTAAGTACTGTTTAACTAATTTGAAACACTAACCCGTTAGGATTCTTCGAGAAATGGTCGTTAAAATAAGTTTTGAGATAAATGGGGAAAACTAATCATGCGCGAAACACTATCTGTCATCCCACATTGAATACACATAAAGTAAAATAGAAGCGCTGGTGGCTGTTTCACTGCATTATTAAAACTGATATCAGTATATAAAGTAAAATTTTGAACAATCACATGGAAATAAWTTTTTTCTCTKTAACAAGSACTGTTAACCATGAAATCGTACAAGAAATAAATTAGCTTCAGTTTCAGTTTTATGCGTACGCAAGTTCCCTTGTTAACATAAGGTGAGGGAGCGGGGTCCTCGCTCGTTGGAAATTCTTAAAATTGCCCCTAAAAGGCCGAATTACATTGCGAAATGATGAGCGTGGCAGTGATAAAATTTCACCCCTAAGAGGAACCATTAATTGAACTGTCATTTTGTTTCAATTTATGGAGCTCACTTTTCACATTATATCTCTTAGTGTCATCGCATACTCAGTTGGTGGTATATCTTGTCACCCAAAGAGGACCAAAATCATTTCAAACGCTAAAAGCTCTCTTTAATATGGGACGGCAACACAGTGTAGCCAATAAAAACCAAATATATATGCTTAACAATAACTAATTGTTTCTTTTAGGTTTCGATAATAGGCGAGATAGGACGAACTAGCCAAGGAGACATTGCCATCGATAACATATCATTCAAACCAGGCCGATGTACATACACACAAGACACTATTGCAGACAATGTACAATCTATCCATGCTACTCCAACGATTGCATTTGATGGTAAGTATGAATTCGCATTGATATCGTCGTTTTCTTTTCCTGCAAGGTATATTATATTTAGTAAAATGGTGGGAACTAGCGGTAAACTAGTGTGAGCTGCGTCGGTGTTTCTAAAGAAACAGTTGTGTCAAAAAGATAAGTTTAACACCGTAAAAAAGTATGGGAAATAACTTACTGACGTTTCGGATGTTAATCCTCTTTACTCCGACGAAGGATTAACATCCGAAACGTCAGTAAGTTATTTCCCATACTTTTTTACGGTGTTAAACTTATCTTTTTGACACAACATATTATATTTAGTATGCATAAAATTTTGGGCTATCACAAAACCAGGAGTTTGGTTTTTGGTCGCGCGTCGCGGGTCGCGGGTACCAAC